CGGTAGGTAAAAGTAAAAACTTTCTCAAATAAGACCTAGTGCAACATCCAATTGTGTGTTTTTTCATTGTGTTTAGGAAGAATTTAGCTAAGCTTTTGGTGTGCCAATCAATCTATGTTTTCATTTTTTATATTATGATGAATATGCTTCGAATTATGGGTTAATGTAAACACAACAATATATCCATGGATTTCAGTAGGTTAGTTTTCTGTGTTGATAAAAGATGGCCATGCACAGATTAACAGATACTGAAGGCCTTACAGGCTGAGCTTGATCAAATGCTGAACATCATGTTTAGTATACCTTTGAATACATTTAGACTGTAATTAGTATATGAATAATGTCTACTATTGAAGATGAGCCAGACCAAAGCCTCTTAACTGGAGCAAAAAACAGTCAAAATCTGGGGCTGACTGCTGTTCCTCCTCTAAATTCTTCTCAACAGTGAGCTCAACTCATATTACGGCATCATAAGATTTCAGCGGCAGATACTTGGGCCCGGTTTTTGACACAAGCACAGATGAATTTCTTCCAGTGAATCTGGGGGTCGTCTCTGGTTTCCGGCGCAGTGTCTACTGTATTACACCCCTGGCGAGTGGTGAGAGGAGGATTTTGTTGCCCCCCAACAGCAGACATCACACGGCCTCGCAGCCCAGTGGAGAGTTAATGATCCCTGCCAGCTAACTATCGGCATGCCCAGTTATTCATTCCAATCAGTGTGCTTCCTGACTTTGGCTAATACCTGCTGTACTAGAGATTACTGTGACGATATTTATTGCTCAAAATACCTAAAAATCTTCTGCTATGACATTAGACATTGATATTGACAGTGTTATATTTGTGTGTATATGTCATAGCTATATTTATTACTACTACAAACAGATTGTTTTTCTGGATCTGGAGCCCCCACCCTGGGCTGCCGTGGTGGAGGGGTTTGAGTGTCCCATTGATCTTAGGAGGTGTGTTATCCGGGGCTTTAAGTCCCTGGTAGGGTCACCCAAGGCAAACAGGTCCTAGGCCTGGGATCAGACAAACTGCAGTGCAAGGACCCCTGATGATGAAAAACAGAAATGGACCTAGTGCTCCCTTGCCGGACGTGGGCCACCGGGTCCCGACTCTGGAGCCAGAACTTGGCAAGTTGGGGAACTTGGCTTTTACCCATGGAGCCATAGATGGTGTCCATTTGTGCTCTTGGCACCAGGACACCCTAGGCCGCAGCTCAATGATCAACTTTGTTGTTGTTTCAGCTGACCTGTGGCCGCATGTCTTGGACACTCGGGTGAAGAGGGCGGCGGAGCTTTCCGCTGACCACTACCTGGTGGTGAGTTGGCTCCGATGGTGGGGTAGGATGCCGGTGAGACCAGGGAGGCCCAAACGCATTGTGAGGGTCTGCTGGGAGCGCCTAGCAAAGTCCCCTGTTAGGCAGAGCTTTAACTCCCACCTCTGGGAAAGATTCAATCACGTTCCGGGGGAGGCGGGGGACATTGAGTCCGAGTGGGCCGTGTTCCGCAGATACTTGTGCACTCTAAGTGGCATGCGGCTCGGGTGGTGGCCAAGGCAAAAACCCAGGTGTGGGAGGAGTTCAGGGAGACCATGGCAAAAGACTTCTGAGGCTTTGAGGCAATTCCGGTCCACCATCCTGCATCTGACCTCAACTTGCAACGTTGTGGGTTGGTGGGTGGAGTACTCGGAAGACCTTCTCAATCCCACTAGCGCGTTTTCTATTGGAGGAGCAGAGCCTGGGGATCCGGGGTCCGGTTCTCCAATCTCTGGGACTGAAGTCACAGAGGTAATCAAAAAGCTCCGCGGTGGCAGGGATCCGGAGGTGGATGAGATTCGGCAACAGTTCCTCAAGGCTCTCGATGTTGTAGGGTTGCGCTGGCTGACAAAACTCTGCAATATCGCCTGTACATCAGGGATAGCAAGCCCTTTGATACGGGCAGTTATGTACCTCTATGACCTGGGTCAGAGATTGGTCCGCATTGCCGGTAGTAAGTCGGACTTGTTTCCAGTGAGAGTTAAGGTTGGCTTTTGTCTCCGATTCTGTTCATAACTTTATGGACAGAATTTCTAGGTGCATCCAAGGTGTTGAAGGAGTATGTCTTAGTAGCCTTAGGATTGATTCTCTGCTTTTCGCAGATGATGTTGTCCTAATGGCTTAATCAAGTCATGATCTCAGGTCTGGCTAGAGCGGTTCGCAGCCGAGTGCGAAGCGGAATGGACGAGGATCAGTGCCTCCAAATCTGAGACCATGGTTTCTCATGGGTAGAGAGCCTCTGGATGAATGTCCTTGCCCAAGTGGAGGAGTTCAAGTACCTCGGGGTCTTGTTCGCGAATGGGGGTAGGGAGCGTGAGATCGATAGGCGGATCGGGGGGGCGTCTGCAGTAATGCGGGCGCTGTACCGGTCTGTCGTGATGAAGACAGAGCTGATAAGCGGTGAAAAATGAATGGATGGATGGAAGTTCCAGTCTGTCTTTTTTTTTGCATTGCATGCCAGAAAGAGCTTTAAGTTGCCTAATACCGTACTCTGGAAGTGCTCTTGAGCCCATGGAAGGATTTCCAGGTCGGATTAATTTTCAATGCTAGGATCACATTGAGGAACATTCCAAAATTGCGCCACAGGATTTTGGAAATTACTGAACCTAAAAACACCTTTATTTTAAGAGACTCTTTTGAGTTTTAAGTGCTTGCTAACCGATAAAGAAAATGGAGCGCAGTTTTAGGGTTTTATGACATGCATTAATCCCAACCACCTCTCTAGTGTGCATTATATCAGTTCATCAATTGGCTTCCTACAATATAAATACTATGGCCTCTTTTCTGGTCTACTTGAGTGGCCGGCCAGACTGGAAAAGCACCAGACTTCATAAGTACAGAGCTGATCCGAACAGTGAGCTGTGATAGGATAAATATGATCAGTGTTAGTAACATTTATTTATGTCTACATCATTCAAAACCTCTTCCTGTCTGCTTTGAAAATTTACAGAAAGGAAGACATTTTTAAAAAGTAGTGTTTTCCCCAAATAGGTACACAATCTCACAATCTTAAGGGATCCCTAAAAGAGTTTTCACATGATGTTTGGTGTACAACTCTTCCTCTGTGGAGCTAAATGGTGTTGTGTGTGACCTAAATATGTGTTTGGAACTTTTGGCCCCCCGGTGGTCCCTGGAGCCCAGGCTGCCAACACAGACTTCCCTCTGGGAGCTTTAGAGTGCAGAGTGATTCTCTTCTTCACAACTGATACGCTGCTGATGTGTTGTTCTCACTCAAGTGTTTATCTGCCATGCCGCGTACGTATGTGCCCCCCCCCCCCCTGCCCTGCACACATTCCTTCCTGTCTAACATAGCTGCAGTTTCCCCATTTTGTCACAGTGTATTTTTAAAAACAGCCAGCATGTCGTCTGTCTCTATGGAAATGTTGTCTGCAGTTGAAGTTGTTTTTTTGCCCTTAAGATTAGATGTTCATGAGGATTTTTTTTGTTTTTTATTTTCAATTTTGCTTTTGGCCTGGACTTATGAATAATAACCGAGGACACATATATACCTTGTTATGCAGCTGAAATAAGAACAAACCTTTATGTGTGACTAAAAAAAAACCTTTTGATCAATGCAACCAACACAATTCCGACACAGAAGTTTTTTTTCTGGCTGAGGTGTATTTTAGTTCAAACACCAACAGGAGTGTTGGTCCCCCCACATTTCTTCATACTTTTCCTCCAGCCAATCAGCCTTTTTGTCACCATAGCAACTAAACCAGAAAGCCAGCCTTAATGGAACACAGCTTTCTGGAAAGTTTTATCCATACAAAAATGTAATTATATTTTGAATTATTTCTTTTTAAATAGCATCTATTCATTGTCCATCACTGGAAAAATAACAATATGTAAATAGTCTGTCAATATTATGCTGTTGTTATCTACAACATACCATGAATGACTCAATTTCTTCACAGATGTAAAAAAATTATTTTCAATGCTGATCAAAATAAAGAATTAGTCATGGACATTTCAAGTTTGTTTATATGATTATTATGCTCTAACTCATAATTAAGTTTAATGGGAAGATATTAAAATCTGAGAGACCTTCAAACTAAAATCAGACATGAGGAGCATCTCTTTGTAGCTCAAGAATGTAAAGAGTGAGTCATTATTTTGTTCAGAAAATATGCATTTATACTTGTGGAAGCCAAACAATTTACACTATCAGAATAGGTTTTCAAGTTCAAGTAGCCATTCCAGTTGTTTTGAAAATATTTCACGTTATTCAATTACAGGACTTTTTTTTACTGTTATTGTCCATCCTAGGATATCAGGAATAAGGAGGTGTTACCCACTGCTCATGACGCACCATACTAATAAAAACATATAACACATATTACTGATTTCTTCACAATACCAACATGCACAGAAGTTGATTTGACCAGAGTTTTAAAAATAAAATATGCAGGCAGCAACTTCCATGTTTGTAAATACATAGTTGACTATCCGTTACATTATTCCAACGTTAAAGACATGGACTATTTTTCTCATATTTTCCTCCCATTCAGTCCTGGCGTCCATTGTGATCAGCATGAAAAATTCTTATAAAATTATTAGTTAGCAAAAAGTTATTTCTTCCCCTTTATTGCTATGCATGGGGTGAATTTGCTTAGAAAATAATCACGTTTGAGGGTGTTTTAGTAACACTCGTATCTGGAGCGCATGAGTTCATAGTTAACTTTCAGCCGGTGGAATGGGAAATTACGGATTTTACCGAGTTTTAACGACCCCTGTTGGTCTGTGAATTTTAGTGTGAGAGTCATGTGTCCTAGACAGTCCTTAGTAATGTCTGTGCTCCGTTTTAGGTACACAGCTTGAGACTTCTCGTGCGCTGAGGTGGAATGTCTGAAGCGCTTCGGTGCCGTCGGGGTTTGTCTCACCGGACACGAAGCTCTGCCTTGATGAAGGCAGAATCTCAGAGAGCTCATCTAAAAGTCATCTTAAAGTCCCTGCTGCTATCATGAAGATTGAGCAGAGCCGCGTGGACAAAGCCGCCGCGCGCCGGCAGCTGACGGAGCTGCTCCCCAAAGCCGGAGCGGGGTTCCTGGAACAGCCCGACCAAACCAAACAGGTTGTTCTGGATTTAGAGGACGTTGGCTCAAGCCAAGCAAAATTGGAGAAGGATTCTAGAAACCAAACGTCTGTCAGCGGCACCGGCGATCTTTCTACAGCGGAACCGAACTTTGAGAAGATGATCGAGACCGAGATCCATCAAAAAGAGGGTGCCAGGCTTATGAAATGTGGGGAACAGGAAAAGGACAGTGGTCCTGACCCATCCTCACCCACTTGTGACAAAAAGTCAAAAGAGTGCCCAAATCCGGGAGACAGAAACGCGTGCGTCATGACGCATTCGGACATTACAAAAAGAGAAGAAAGTGAGGAATTAAACAGTAATGATCATTATCTGAGCGGGAGAAGTGAGTCAGAAGACTTTGAGGAAGGGGAGGATGTCAGTTTGGTGCTTTCTAATGACTCCGGCCAGTGCGTTGCCGAGGACGAGTCCCATTATATCACCACGCACGAGATCCAGCTGTCCGAACTCTCTGACCACGAGGGGGACTTTGACCTGGGGGTGGGCTCCTCGGCCAGCTGGGAGATAGAGGATGAGAACCAGGTGTACTCGTTTGTCGACTACTCTTTTGAGGCTGAGGCAGCCGCGGGGGAGAGGGGGGGCAGTCCGCGGCCTCGCGCGCTGGACGCAGCAGCGGTCAGCACTCTGCCTGAAAACGATACGCGCGACACGGCCAAGTCCCCAGAGCAGAGCCCGGCCCAGCCCCCGCAGCCGCGCGGGGGCAGCCGGGGGGGGCAGATCCACCTGTCAATCAGAACCACCTCCCGGGCTATAAATGACCCCGGCAGCGTCCAGGAACGGGAAAACATCCTTTATCACGCCCGGCGCTCCGGGGACGTGAGCCGCTGCGTGTGGGGGGGGGCCGAGGGGAAGTGCTTCATAGCCGCGCCCGGGCGCGTGCACTTCGGGGGCAAATTGAGGGGAAAGGAGGTTACAGGGTATTCCAGCGGCACGTCCAGTGCGGTCAGTGAGCTGGATGACGCCGATAAGGAGGTGCGCACCCTCACGGCCAGAGCCTTCAAAAGCCTGGCCTACCCTTACTTTGACCACATCAATTTCAGCACCTCCAGCGAGTCCTCCGCGTCCGAGCACGGCCTAGGGATAAACAGGTGGTCCACCTTTGTGGACCTGAAATATGGGAACGTGAATGTGTCGCGGGGACTGGACCAAAGTGTTGTGTCCTGTCAAAACTCTACGTTTGAAATCGCCCAAAACCTAGACAGTAGAGGCCATAAGGGCGCTGCACTGGCCAGCATCAAAGCGCCCACCAGCAAGATCCTCACTCTGAATGGAAACCCCAAGAATATTCAGCTGATGGGGCAGTTTGGTCAGAGCCACGGTGGCGTGATCAGGCTCACGGAGACCCTCAATTTCCGCTGCAATGTCAAATCGGGAATGTCCGCGGAAGAAAGACGCACTAACTTTGCACAAAACGCTGCGGGATCACGTTCCACGGATGAGGTTACCGACGGTTTGCGAAGCAGCCAGAGGAGAGGGGCCAGCAAGTCTCCCCTTAAAACCATGGAAGACACGCATAAGAAAGCCGTTTTCGCCTCGAGCGTGATCAAAAATGTCATTTCCAAGAAGATGCAGTTCGAGCAGGAGCGCAAAATGGAGCGGGGGGAGATCTGTGAGCCGCACCAGACTCCGTCCCCGTGCTTTGGGCTCCAGGACGGGGAGAGCAGCCGGGGGAAGGGGGGCCGGGACCTGCAGAGACAGGGCTCCAGGTTTTCGGAGAGCAGCTCGGACTACACCCTGATGGGCCTGGACGAGCTGGGGGACATGGTGGACAGCAGCTCGTGTGAGACCAGGAGCGACTCCCGGAGACCGGACACGTTCACTCCCGCGCGAGACACTTATTTCGAGCCGGCGAATGAAGGCGGAATCGATACTAAAAAAGGCGCAATGGACGCGTCCAAAAGCACGCTGCTTCGCAGCCAAAATAGCGCGTTCAGATGCTGGAAGGACGAGGAGCTAGGGTTTCAAAAGGATCATAAAAACGATAAAACTGTGGAGGACAGGCTGCCTTCTGCTCGTGATAAAGAGGGCGAGGGGGATCGGTACTCGGCGGCCAACAGCAAACTGACTAAAATGTCCCATTTGTTTGTGCCAAGTATCCAAGTGCTGCCTACTGACGGAGGAGTGGGACAGCAGCTGCTGGGCACAGATTATTCCCAAAGTGGAGACGGACAGGGGACAAAACTGCGCGCAGACAACACTTTATACATCACAGACTCCCGGACTGTAGCAACGTCCAAATCTCCGGAGATTAAAATTAACCTGCGGAGCGTCAGAGAGAATCAAACGGAATCTTTTGGCGTCTCCAGGCTGCGCGCTCCTAATATAGGCTCAAACGCACCCAGCCTTATCAGAACAGACGACTTCAAATGCCAAGCACTGGCAGCAGCTTTGAAGGGTGAGTCTTCTGATAAAATTCCACATTTCATGGTGAGAGACATACGAGATAATAAGGGCAAGTTGCAAACACCCATTCACCAGGTCAGAGACGTGCGTAAATTGGTTAAAAGTTCATATCACTTTGTTTCTCTGGATAACGACAATAAATCAAACTGTGCCTCTGCTGACAGTCATCCAGACCAAAGGAAACAAATGCACTATCGAAATCCCAACTCTGTGTCGCCCATAGTGATAAAATGTCAGTCGGTAAATACTAATAGCGCAGGGAGACAGTTTGGAGATCCTGATATAATTAACAGGGAGTTGTTTGACAGTGACAAATGGTCTCCAGAGGGCGCTAAAAGTGCTCCCTCTACTAGGGCCCCGTTAGTTATGGCAGGCGACTCCCCAGAGGGGAGCATTGGGCTCGGAATTGAGAGCAAGATATCGCCAAACAAGCAGGAAAAAGCCTCGGATTTGACAGAAAGGAAACCGGAAGCGAAGATAGCCAATCAGGCGGCCCTGGAGAAGCTGCAGGCCGCGGTGAAGACCATGGAGCAGCTTTATGTGTTTGAGAGGAACGAGTGGAAAAGGAAGAACGAGCCGCGGCCCCTGACCGACAGCCACGTGCTGTCGCTGATAGCCAGTGAGGAGCAGGGGGGGTCAGAGGAGGAGGGGGCCCCGGGGCCCCGCGTGGACACCAGCTACCCTCACATAGACAAGCCCCCCCCAGCCTCAGCAGCCTCCCCCAGCTGCGACGGCCTGAGGCGGGGGGACAGAGACCTGCTCAGGGCGGTCCAGATGTCCAGCGGTCGTGATGACCGGCTGCACACCCTCAACGCCACGGGAAGTAAAAACTCCTCCTCGCTCAGCTCCAGCTTCAAAGCCTCCTCATTCGCAAGCGTCCGCCAGCCGAACAACACCCCCCAGATGCCTATGAGCAACAAAAGCTCTGTCCCCAAGGCCCCCAAACTGCCCGTGTCTTTAAAGGTCAGTCGCACGGCGGTGAACGGGAACGTGGACGTTGAATCGAAGCATGTGGAACTATCAGAACGTCACTTTTCGAGTTCCTCGCTCGACAACGAGAACTACCTAACCATTCCGGTCAAATCTCACCCCGACAGCGGTAGACACCCCCCATCTGCCGATAGAACGTGTGTGTATTCGTTTGCAACCCAGTCACTGCCCACCTCTCCTCCAGGACACCAAGGAGCCCCCGGGAAAGGCCAGCAGGACCACAACCTGATGACCAAACGCTCCAGCATGGTGATGGAGACCCACTCACCAGAGGTCCCCCCCGCCACCATCTACCACTCCCTACCTCTGGGCATGCCCGCCACCCAACCCCAGCTCTACTGCTTCTCCCCCGCAGTGACCCCGGCCCCCGCCCTGGACCCTTTTCCGGCCACCCAGAGGAAGATGCTGCTGGACCCCAGCACGGGGAACTACTACCTGGTGGATACCCCGGTGCAGCCGGCCACCAGGCGCCTCTTTGACCCGGAGACGGGTCAGTACGTGGACGTGCCCATGCCCCCGCCCCCCATGACGCCCGTGCCCGTGCCCATGTCCCCGCTGGCCCTCAGCCCCGGGGCCTACGGCCACACCTACATGATCTATCCGGGCTTCATGCCGGCCCCCCCCGTGATCCCCGCCCCGGCCCCTGGGCCCTGCCCGGTGTCGGGGGCCCCACAGGGGCAGGGGGGGGGGACAGGGCCTCGTCCCAGCAGGCCGAGGGGGTGTACCGGGACAGCCCCTTCTACATGGCCACCGGGAAGTCCCCCAGGGCCCCCGCCGGGCCCCCGCCGCCGGCCCCCGGCAGCAGGCCGCCGCACGGCTTCTCCCCGGTCAAGCAGCCGCTCATCAGCATCACCTCCCAGCAGGGGCCGCGCATCATCGCCCCCCCCCTCGTTCGACGGGACCACCATGAGCTTTGTGGTGGAGCACAGATGAACGGGTGAGTGCCGTTTCCCTTCCTCATGTCCAATAACGGGAGGTTGGGAAAAAAACAGATGATTTAACATCATCCTGATAAGTTCCTCAAAACAGGAAGCATTTCCTATCAGTATAATGAAAAACATCTAAATCAGACGACATGTCTGAAATGAAACAAAACGTTAATGTATTTAAACACTTAACAAAAGAACCGCCATTTCTCTCAGATGAGAGAGAATGTGCTGGATTAAATTAGAATATAATGAGACTGAATTGAACTGTAACTTGAAATCCACTCATTTGCTTTTCTCCTTAAAGTGCCCCCGACTTTAGATTTAATTTAATTGGCATCATATACATAAATTAAATTGAACATCTATGTAAAGATTTAGAAAAGCATGAAGGGAAACATTGTGGTTGATGATCTTCACATTTTTTTTATTTTGATTAAGATCATTTCTTCTTTTGACAAGCAACATAGATATTAACTCTTAAGCAATATTGTAACAAACAACATAGGTTTTCTTCCCCTCTCTGTTAGCCAAATAGCTGTACTCCATTCTATTATTCTTTTTTTCTATAAAAGAGTTCAAAATAAAACTAAGTAATATTGTATTGTTAAAGGGAATTTTTAATAAAGACCTTCATTCAGGGTGTACGAGTTCCAAGGTACAATTTCTTTTGTTGTCACTGATCTGAATGAGAAACAAATTAAATTAAGATTTTTACACACATTATGCTCGAGGAAATGACTTAAGTGACTATTAAACACAAATTCAACTGCTCTCACAGCTGAATTTGTGAAGCAAATACAATAATGAACTTAAGACCATTTTCAGAATTCAGTTTTTCTATCCATCCATCCATCCATCCATCCATCCATCCATCCATCCATCCATC